ACATGTATATTTATTTATTTTTATATCAAAATTTTCATTATGGTGACCAGAAAAACAAAAACATTAGTAAATGAAAGATATATATAGAGAAAAAAACACATGCATATATATATATATATATATATATATATATATAGGTACGGACATCGGGTCACCAAAATAGTTAATAATAATGCAGAAAACAGATAATGCAAATAAAAATGAGTCTGAAAAGGAAATCAACATAATACTAATAATACTAGAACTAGAGATCTTGTGAATAACACAGATCTATCGCCAACCGGGAGGATGCTCTGCAGGAGTGTTTGAGCCACGCAGCTCAGTCAGCTGGCGTCGAATCTCTGCCACCTCGTGAGCTAATTCATCTAACTCACCAGCAAAGGTAACATCATTCAGTTCCAACTGTAAATGAAGGTCAGCCACCTCATTGCTGAGAGTGGTTATCTCAGTGCGCATAGCAGTCAACAGAGTGCGAATATCAGGTTCCTGCAAGCTGAGGTTATTAGTAAGAACAGTAGTGCGTGTAACCTCGGGTCGGGATGTGTGATCTGGAGTAGAGTCCTCGGGAGCAGGAGTGTATTCAGGAGTAGGATCTTCGGAAGCAGGAGTGTATTCTGGAGTGGGATCTTCGGAAGCAGGAGTATATTCTGGGGCATACTCTGATATCTCACCCCAACCTTCTACAGAATAGTTCCAATTAGCAGGGTTGGAAACACAAGTCATCTGAGGGTCTGGCAGTGTGAAGGTGTAAACTGTCTGGTCATCGATGAGCAATCTGTACTGATATGGGTGGAAAGAGGCCCTCCTCATGAGCCCACGATCCATGCAAAAGTCTAAATCCAAGAAAGTATATCCACAGTATAGGGTCAGTTGTGCTATCAAACCCAAAGTAGAAGCTATCTGTGTCACATTCCCTCCGGAATGAATGAGTCCTACAGCGGATCGAGCAGTCTGCTCGAGGCTCTCTATCAGAAAACCTCCACTAGCTATAGGTCTGGACTGACTGGCACAGTATAGGAAAAGGATCTCCTCAGCGGTGACTAAGTGGTCACAGTAACTCCTCCCAAAGAAAGTGTGGCACAGAATCATCTCGAAGTATCGGAAAGTGTTGGCGCCGTTGCCGGGGATCAACTTCGTCAAATTTCGTACCATGGTCAGAACTTCTGACCTCCCTTAATTAACAACGCGCTGATTCCCTTTTTACTTTTTCTCACTATTTTTGTTATCACTTTCTATTTCATTAATCAACAAACTCCAAAAACATTTTTTCATGCTTCACTTTATTTCTTAAAACAAAAGACCAAAAATATTTTCTTAAACAAACTTATTTCTTTTCTTAAATAAATAACCAATTTCATTTCTTGCACATCCTGATCCATTTCGATATGGTCGTAATAATAATTTAGGATTTAATTTTACTTGCAACCCTCATTCATAAATATGTACCCCCATCCCCCTAAAGCGATGTAATAGCTTAGATTTTATTTTTTCGCATTTTATTTACTTTTCATATATTGCTAATAAATAAGATGTATGGCAAGACATGAAAACAAAAAAATAGACAACCTTAATCAAGATTAAAATGCATGCAATCAAACACACTCTTCACGCACGCACCCTTAGTGTAATCCCATTTCATTGCCTATCGGAAAAACAGTCATGTCCCTCAAATATGAGACACTTTAGCAATGACCCTTCGATAAAAAAGATCATAGTCTCTCGATGACCCTCGGCGTTGCCTTTGATAAAACGATCTCGTCCCTTACGAAAATTGCTAAAGCGTCTCATAGGTTGCTTTCAGTGACTGTAAAATTGACCCGCGCCTGTCCATTTACATCCAACGGTGGGGCTTCTTACCAAATCAATGGTAAGATATCAACATTAAAAGGAGGAAGAAAAGAACAATTGAAAATATTTCGAGTAGGTAGATTCGCTCCTAGTTACTCGCTTGCTCACGACAAAAACATTTTTACACCAATACTTTCATCTCAAAACATTTTCAAAAGACAAAACATTTTGTATACGTTCTTATAGAGACGAGAACCATTGCAAAACGTCTTTTCAAAAACACAATCCACAAACACATCTTTGAATCACTTTTTGAAGCAAAACTTTGTACGCGCTCTTATAGAAACGAGAACCATTACAAAGAGATTTTTCAAAACACTTTCAAAACCCACACCACAAGCATACTATCAAATAAAAGCAAGTGATTTAAACGAGTAACTAAGAGCCCATGGAAAACCATAGATGAAAAGGGTGTTAGGGTTTCAAAACACTTTCAAAACCCACACCACAAGCATACTATCAAATAAAAGCAAGTGATTTAAACGAGTAACTAAGAGCCCATGGAAAACCATAGATGAAAAGGGTGCTAATACCTTCCCTTTTCATAATCTACCCCCCGAACCCGAGAAATAATCTCGAAAGGTCTTTCCTGTGCTTTGTTACCTTTCCTTTTGGATAAAAGAAAAGTCGGTGACGACTCTTGCTATCCGCACAAATGCGATCAAAATGCAAAAAAACCAAGTCAGTTCTCCCACCGTATCACACACTGCATCTACTTTAGATGGGTCCACAGTAATACCATTACCTGAAATAACATGTCCAAGAAAACTAACCTCTTGCAACCATAACTCACACTTCGACAACTTTGCATACAACTTCTTTTCTTTAAACACTTCCAACATAATTCGTAAATGTTCAGCATGATCTTCCTTCGACTTGGAATAGATCAAAATGTCATCAATGGACACTACTATAAATTGATCAAGGTAAGAATGAAATGTGTTCATATATTCCATAAACACTCCAGGTGCATTAGAAACTCTAAACGGTATAACAATATATTCATAAGGTCCATACCGAGTTCTAAAAGCAGTCTTCTGAATATCTTCTTCTTTCACTCAAATCTGATGGTAACCTGACCTCAAGTTAATCTTGCTGAAGACACGCACACCTACCAACTGGTCAATCAAATCATAAATTATCGGAAGTGGATAGTTATTCTTGATCGTTAATTTATTCATCTGTCGATAATCCACACGCAACCTCATACTACCATCTTTTTTTTACCAACAACACCAAAGCTCCCCAAGGTGACACACTTGGTCTCACAAATTTATTTTCCAACAAATCTTTTAATTGCTTCTTTAAGTCTGCTAACTGCGACACTGATATCCTGTATGGTGCCATAGAAACAAGTCTAGTACCAGGGACAATGTCATACCCTAAATTTGTCATAATCTTTCGTATAGATCATCTAGCTTATGTATCTCATAACCATCATGTGCATACCTTCCATTAGGTCATCTAATAGATCATGCATTCATTAGCAATTGAGGTTTGGTATGTGGGATCAATGGTCATGGAAGGATCTAGGGTTTCACATGGTTGAGAGTTATACACTTTGAAGGATTGTTTCAACCAAGGTTCATAGGTCATGGATTAGGGTTTGCTTCTTAATGCTTGGGGTTATCAGATGAAACTCGAGGCTCTAGTTATACATCCCTCATGGACTTATTCTCAAGACATTTTATTGCTTGGACCATCCTATGAGGTGTAAATTCATGGTTGATTGTAGTACAAAGTGTTCTATTTTAATCTCATTCGAAAATCTTAAACATAAAGGTTATTAGGGATTACATAGTGAGGATCGTCTTCTTGGCCTTACAATTATTACTTGAGTTAGGACTTGTTTCCCTATTCATGGGGTGGTTTAAAGGATTCCATTCATTATTATGATTACAAGTTATTGAACAAGGCTTTATGTACTCGACAAGTTAGGGTTCTCATGTAGATTTGGATTGGTTCATCATTGATTCAAGACATTTACTTCATATTAACGGTGTCGCTTGAAGAGCAAGAAGCTTTAGACTTAGGTCATACTTTAAGTATTATTCCATCTTATAACATGTTTCTACATGATAAGATCAAAAGAAGATGATTTGAAGATGTTCATTCAAGAGTTGATTCTTGGTCATTCTTTCATGGATAGCGGACTATGGCTAAATGGGTGGAAGAAATGGATTTCAAGAGGAGTATTCAAGTTCAATACATAAACGAAAATCAGAAGCAAATTAATATTGAATTAGTTCACCAGTTGCTCTGCATATCATGAAAAACGAGAAAAAAAACCATTTGAACAATAAAATTGGTTCGAGCTAAACATTAAAACGGTTATCCAGCTCATTCAATCCTAACCGCTAACAGGAAATTAGAACTATCAATCAATCATTTGCTTCACTCATTCAAACTTGATCCCTTGATTCCAAACCTAGGCTACTCACCTAAATCTGAGCTTCTAACTAACCGAGACTAATACTTCAATTCACTCTAACTACATAACTAACTTCATATCATGCCTAACAAACTCTTATGCTAGTAATCACACCCGAGCCTCATTCATATCCTAATCACTTCCCAAACCTCACCTATATATATTCATAACTCCCTCTAAATTTCATTTTGGGGATGATTCAAACGCATTATTTCCTTCTCATCACTCTCAAATTCTCTCTAATTTTCTCCCTCCCTATCCTCCTTCATACTTTCTCTTCCATTCACCTCATCACTACTCCACCGCTGTTATCCATCTTTGAAGCTCACGACTCCTTCAACCTCCATCTTCTCTACATCCATCTTCCTCTTTGCAATAGCTATAACAACATCACCGTGAATTTCATCTCAACACAGAATCAACAACCACAACAACGAAAACACAACAAGCTCAACGCAAAATCACACAGAAGAAATGTACAGAAACAAGGAAGAAGAAAAAGAGGAGAAAACATCGCAAGAAAATGAAGGAATTAAAGACTTCCTACCTCAAATATAATTCTTCATCTCAGGTTTTTGTTTTTCACCGTCGAATTTGTATCGGATGAACTCCGATAGGTATGCTTTGATATCTCTCTTTCTTGCATCATTTTTGCATAAGTGAATTCCTGAATGTTTGTGAACCCCGACTAGATTATGCGTTTGTCAAAGCTTTATCTCCTTCACCTGATTTCGATTCGCAAATTATTGTCTGAACTTGTGGATTTGTGAGTTACTCGTTGTTTGGGACGAGAATTGGTGATGAGAGAATTCGAGAGAGTGACGAACGAAACTGCGGTACATTTGAGGACGGTGTTGATAATAGAAGTGATTTGAGACAAAGCTTGTGGTGGAGATTGAAGGAGAAGGACACGTGAATCGAATCGAGTGTGTCGAAGATGAGTGGGGAATATGAATAAGAAGCATGAGAGGGAGGAGAATGAGCAGAGTGTGGCAGTTATGGCGTTATCAGCGGCAGTGATAAGGGAAAAGTGGCGGAACAACATTCGCGGTAAAGAGAGAAGACAAAAGTTTGTTCATGAAGTTGGAGAGTCACAAATAAACCCTAAATCTTCCTAAATAGCACCGTTTAATTTATAATTTAATATTTTGTTATTTTTTGCTTAACTTTGTGTGTGTTGAGTCCATCACATGAGTGTTGGGCCTCTGATAAAACCTCCAACCCATACATTCCCAGCGTATACCCCATGTTCTCTGCTATCACACTTTTTTTAACCTTTTTTTGGTTCTATTGAATTGGTTGGACCGAAGAACCAAGCCCAACGCCCAACATTGCTACTACACCACCGTAGTCCAGTAAACCCCCCTGCTTACATTTGTTCTTTATTTTTTCTTTGTATTTTTACATAGAATTTCCTTTGATAATATTTGCATAATATCTTTTAATTCTTGCTGGTAAAAATGATAAAGATATGTGGGATTAGGATCATAGTTTTTTTCTTTCTTGAATTCTTTGTTCTTAAAATTGCTTAAAACATGCCTTAGATTCTCTTTAGACTTTTAATAAAATTGTAGGGTTTTTGTATGTTCTTGATCCTTTGTGCTTGACATTTGGTGCTTATTTGATTAATTGTTTAATTTCTTGTATGCTTTCACATATTCCCTTAATATTTTTAATTCGATTTTAATCCATTGATTAAATTGAATTAATTAGACTTTAGGACTTTAAAACCAAGCATGACAACAATTAATTATAATTTTCCTTGATCCCAACCTTAGGACCATGATGCATGACAATATTAGGATTAGTTTCCCTTAGTCTTTTTCTATTTATTTTTGCATTGCATGTATGTAAAACTAAAACCATTTTCTTAAGCAAATCCAAAACACTTAATGAATAAAGATGTGAATCATACGTCACGAGCCTTAAGTAGTGAGAAAAGAATGAGGCAATACATTCTTAACCTTGCTCTTTCTCTCATCCATAGTATTTAGTATGATTCAATTCCCAAACTAATTTCAAAATAACAAAAACACAAACAAATAAAGTGTGCAACATTGCCTTGAGGGCATAACTCAAAACCTTTTCAAAAGGGTTTGTTACCCATAAAAAACACCCAACAAACCAAAAAATTTGAGAAGAACTACGATGCTCTGATTTCTTCCTAGGATACGTATGCACGAGGTTACAAAACCGAGGCGAGTGTAATAATAAAAAACTTGTATTTTTCCCCTAATCAATTCATTCATGCATTCTCTTATCAAGTAAACATTAGATATAACATACGTTTTTATTAGAACAACAAGAGTGGATCTCGTGGAGTACCATGGACGTGAGGGGTGCTAATAACTTCCCCTTGCATAATCGAATTTCATACCCTTTCTCTTGGTTGCAAGACCATCTTATCTTTACTTTTGGGGTTTCTCTTTATTTTCCCTTCCTTTGGGATAAATAAAGTTCGATGGCGACTCTGTGTTTTTTTGCGGTGCGATAGTTGGCGACTCTACTGGGGAAACCCCAAGCAAGTCAATCCTAGATTTTGTTTGTTTCTTTTCATTGGGTGTTTATATTTATGCATTACTTGCTATGTTTATTTTCATGCTTTATTTGTTGTTTATTTTATTGCATACATTACATTTTATTGCTTTCCATATGTTGGATATGTGTTGTGTTATTATTTTCTTGGTGGGTGGGGTATTACTATGAGGTAAAAGGCCTAATACCTAGGCTAGAGAGAAACACATAGGAACAAATAGGACTGAATTGGATAGTCATTACACCTACTGGGTGCAGACTCTACTAGCGCGATCATGAGATCCACACCCAGACGAGGTTCATATGGGGATTACTATCATTGTGCATATTTATTTCTATGATGATAGGTTTCCACGTGACTCATGACTTTGTGGACCTTTGACCATGCCCAAGCCAGAATTTACATGTGAGATGGGGTGGGAATTGTAGGTGTTTAGGTATTGGCTTGAATTTTTGGTAAATCCCAAGTGTATGTGTGAATGTCATGACTAATGTCATAACATTCTAGTTCAGTTTGTACTGACTCATTAGGTACATTTGCAGAAAAATATTGTAATTCAAATACTGATGTTGATAAGTGTGTATCTGAGCATTTTGCAAAATGATCACATTTTGCTAAATCAGTAGACAGGTTTTCTCAGATGTCATAACAGATGTTATGACATCCTGTTCTGAACTAACAGGATTGCAGGATTGGATAAGTCTGAGTTTTTTCAGGAAATAACTCAGTCCTTCCTGAACAGAATCCTGCGTTTTCTGAGGGATAACCTAGCTCAACCCTAACCTGGTTAATAAAGTCCTGTGACCTGGTCTTTAGGGCAAACGGAATTATCCCTAGGTTTTTGGAAACCCTAACTGAAGCTGCAGCTGCTATATATTCAACAGAGCTGCTGTTTTTCAAGGATCGCTGCTGATTTGATTAGAAGATCAATTTGTAATCTGTATAGATTTGTTTATTTGTACTCCAAGCAATTATCATTGTGATAAGTGCCTTGGAATAGGTTTCTATTGTAAGGGTTGTGTAGCACTCAAAGCTTTGAAGCAAGAGTGTTTGAATGTTCCTTGACTAAAGCTGTGAAGCAGAGTCAAGTTAGTTGTGTACATCACTCAAAGCTGTGAAGCACGAGTGATTGTGTTGCTTGATTAAAAGCTGTGAAGCTTAATCAAGTGTGTGTTTTTGAAGAGTGTCTTCATCAATTCTTAAGTCAAATTGGTTTATGTATCACTGCTGTGATTGAGGGGGAGTGAGTAGGAACTCAAGTTTAAGTTGTACTTAGATTAGAATTGCATTGGGTAGGTCTTAAGTGAAGGAGTAAACTGGTTGGTTTATTCTTGAATTAACATCTCTTATAGTGGATTCTCTCCCTGGCTTGGTAGCCCCCAGAGTAGGTGTTGTTGCACACTGAACTGGGTGAACAATTGACTGTGTTCTTTATTGCTTTTGTATTTACTGTCATATAGTAAGTCAGATACGGTGTCATAACATTGAACGTGACATTGAGTATCTGCAGCCAGAATTTCAATTGGTATCAGAGCAGGCACCCTGCCTGTATTACTGGGTGAGATCTAGGGATATCACTTTCTGGCACTATGGACAAAGAAGGAGTTTTTGGAAATAGACCACCCATTCTGGATGGAACTAATTATGACTACTGGAAACCTCGTATGATTGCCTTCCTAAAATCTCTGGACAAAAAGGCTTGGAGAGCTGCTGACAAAGGATGGATTCATCCCACCATAACTGAGATAGATGGGACAATCAGTCTGAAGCCTGAGGAAGATTGGAGTAAAGAAGAAGATGAGTTAGCTCTGGGAAATTCAAAAGCTTTAAATGCCTTGTTCAATGGAATTGATAGAAACATTTTCAGACTAGTACATCAATATGAACTGGCCAAGGAAGTTTGGGACACTCTCAAAACTACTCATGAGGGCACTTCCAAAGTAAAAATGTCAAGGCTTCAGATGTTGACCACCAAATTTGAGAATCTAAAAATGATGGAAGATGAAACCATTCATGAGTTTCACATGAACATCTTGGAGATTGCCAACACCTCAGGAGCACTGGGAGAAAAAATGTCAGAAGAAAAACTGATGAGGAAGATTCTCAGATCCTTGCCTAAAAGATTTGCAATGAAGGTAACTGCCATAGAGGAAGCCCAGGACATTAGCAAGTTGAAAGTGGATGAACTTATTGGGTCTCTTCAGACTTTTGAGATGGGGATCACTGATAATGGTGACAAGAAGAACAAAAGCATAGCGCTTGTATCCAACACTGATGTTGAATACAAGGAGGATGACGAAGAAAACATATCAGAAGCTATTGCCATGCTTGGAAGACAGTTCAACAGGCTCATCAAAAGAATGGACCCAAAGTCAAGGTCTAATGTTCATAACATTCCCTCTGACATTGACAGTTCCAGCAGAAGACCAAGGTCAGAAGATAAGGGAAACCAAGGCAGAGGTATTCAATGCCATGGATGTGAAGGATATGGACATATTCGAGCTGAATGTCCTACCTTTCTTAAGAAGCAAAAGAAAGGAATGACTGTTACTTGGTCTGACTATGATTCAGAAAGTAATTCTGAAGAAGAATCTGCCAAACTAGTTACTGCCCTAACTAGTGTTTGTACTTCTGAAAGTGACACTAGTGATGAAGAAGTGACATTTGAAGAACTGGCTGATACCTACAAGAAATTGTGTATCAGAAGTGCTGAAGTCTGTGTGCAGAATGAGAAACAATCAAAACTCATTATAAAGCTGGAGGCTGAAAAGAGGGCAAATCTTGAAACTATAAGTCATTTAGAAGGAGAAGTTCAACTGCTGAACTCACAACTGAATCAAATGACCAAATCTGTCAAGATGTTGACCAATGGAACAGACAAATTGGAAGAGATCCTTCGGGTTGGACAAAATGTGGGAAATAAATCTGGACTAGGATTTGTGGAAGCAAAGAAATCTGGTACTGGTAAGCAAATGTCAAAACGGATGTCTCAACACAACTCTCAACATCAGGAACAGAGACATATGAAGAAAAGGTACCAAAGATGGAAATGCCATCATTGTGGTAGATATGGCCACATAAAGCCCTTCTGCTTCAGATTACATGGATACCCTAATCAGATCTCAGGTGTCAAACCTAAGTCTAAAAAGGTACCACATGCTCCTCAATGGAAGAAAAAGGCTACTGCACTGATAGCTCACACTTCCCTGAGGGTCTCTGCAAAGGAAGACTGGTACTTTGACAGTGGATGTTCCAGACATATGACTGGAATCAAGAACCTCCTCAATAATGTTAAGCCTCACACCACCAGTTTTGTGACCTTTGGAGATGGGGCTAAAGGTGAAATCAAAGGAGTTGGTGATTTGGACTGCCCTGGAGTTCCAAGTCTGAATGAAGTACTGCTGGTGAAAGGACTGACCGCTAATCTCATTAGTATCAGTCAACTGTGTGATCTAGGATTCAAGGTCAATTTCTCAAAATCTGAATGCCTTGTAATCAATGACAAACAA